GTCCGACACTTCCACAATTTCTAGGGAGTTCCTATGTAGCGTACACCTAACACCTAACCCGGTGCGTGGGACTGGAAAAAGTATAAAACTAGCACCTAATTCGGGGTTGTGTTTTAGTTTTTGGAAATTTGATGCTCAACTGATGAATAAGTAGCATTTTACCACCAGGTCGCGGTCTTTCTGTGGTACGAGGCCATACTCTGCTCCACAAATAACAGTCTACAAACCGTACGATTCGTACGCAGCAGACTGGTATGCTCTCGGCATCGTTCTCTACACAATGCTGGTAGGAAAATGGCCAAAGGTGAGTTAACATTGAAGGTACATCCTTCATTATTCGTAAAGGCGGACAAGCCAACCATTGTGCCCTCTCTCAGCAGTGGCACCCTCTTTAAGATGCAAGAGCGAGGATGGTGCGCCAAGGAGGGAGGCACAGGGCTAGGATCTTCAAAGAGCTGTCGTTGCGATTCTTTGATAATATCATCAATTACGATATGAGGAAACGGTCTTGCAGGATAATCCACCCAACGTGCCAAGAACAACGCTTTCATTCCCGGATTCCGTGCCGTCTGCGCCATGTCGCCGGCTCATCGCGTCCCTGCTGGAACCTGTAAGTATGAACACAATTTTCGTGTACTGCTATCGCGCGTTTGATTTCTCGAAATGCACAGTCCACACTGGTACGGGCGGAGTCAAGCCTGCTGTTGTGCCCTGTTCATTGGGGTGCTCGTTCTTCGGGGATGGTAAAGAGGTAGAGGACGCTCATGAAGAAGGTAGCATGAGAGTCCTCAAAGGAGCAGTGCGTACTAGACTAAGACAAACTGAATGCACACCTTCAAGGGCGGTCCTTTGCATGCAGGGTTTTAGCTGCAGCAGCGTGCCACAGTCAAAAATGCGCGGGAAGGGGGCAGGAGGGTAGTAATACCCCGGTACAGTGGCCATACTCTGTCCGAGCTATCAAAAAATGTGCACCCCTTGCGTCCATAGGACCCCGCAGCGCAACACGCAC